TCCTAAGTTCACTACTTTGAAATATAATACTTACCAAAATGTATAACTTAAAAAAATTCTCTTTTCTATATTTGCAGTAATATACATCTTCTCAGCATATCAGATTTGATGAGTAATTCAACCAATATTCAGTATTTCAAGATGTGCTAAGATTTTAGTAACAAAGTATAATAAAAACATTAGTTTTGGAGTTCTCTGATTCCTTATTAATACAAATAATCCTTCATATTTTTGAAAGATTTGAACCTTTTTTTTTGCATGTATTTATGAGTAGGCACAAAAGTCAGAGATACAGAATCTCAAAAATTAGTTTTTATAGTTCATTGAACCATTTGACTGTACCTTTCAATATTGTACTATTGAAACCATTTTCAGTGCCTCAGGGTTCTTTCACAGTATGGCCAAAAAACTAAAATTGTATTTATTAACTTGAAATTTTCCGAGTTGCCTTGTATGAATCATTTGAGATTATCTTTTAGAATGCACAGTATTTTGAAATTACTTTGTTCACATTTTGAAATGTTTGGGGAATTTTTTTTTTACATTTAATAAATAGTTATAGTAAGTGTCAGCTTATATAACTCAAAATACTCTAAAGCAGTGTTCACCAACCTTTTGGATCACCAATTAGTGACTGCTGCTCTAAAGACATCATGGTGTCATGTTAACCATTTGGCCCAACAAGAGTCTCCTTTTGAAGCAGCACCCTGAGACTGTGCTTGTCCCTGTGTTTCTTTCATTTTAATACATGTAGTGACAAGTACCAAGTATCAATTTTGAAATTGATGTACTGAAGTTTTAATTTAGGTATTACAGTGATGTGTTGAAAGTAGACTGTACATTACATTACAAAAAAAAAAAATGCTTCTGATTAAGTATACATTTAAGCTTAAAAACTAATATTTAGCCCTAACTGGTTTGGCTCGGCTAGAGCTTCAGCCTGTGGACTGGAGGGTGCTGGGTTCAATTTTCGTTCCAGGGCACATTGCTGGTTCAATCCCTAGTAGGGGGCAAGCAAAGACAGCTGATCAATAATTCTCTCATCATTGATGTTTCTGTCTCTTTCTTCCTCTCTCAAATAAATTATATATATCTTTTTAAAAAACGAATTTTTAAATGAAAAAATAATATTTTAAAACTAAACTTGATAAACTGCATTTGGATTACATAATCCTTTAATGAAAAAGTTCTTAAATTGGAGTTTACAGATAGTTTTTACAAACTGAACACACTGCAATTGTATTTTGTGTGTTTTCCTTGAGAAAGAGGACATAACGCTTTCATCAGATACTCAGAACATGTCGTGAATTAGAAGGTTAAAGATTACTGAATAGGAACTGTTTGTTTTAGTTTTAAGTTTTTCCATTGTTTTGTTTTGTTTTCCTCCTGAAAATTAACTAGAAAATTTCAAGTTTCAAGGTTGGCAGTGAGTCAAATTCTGAGTTAATTGAGATCTGAAGCCAACATTTCCTTTTTTTGTGTGGTTTAATGTAAGAAAGGTTTATTTATCACTCATGAAGATTTTAATACTGGTTGGACAACTCTGCAAGGCCATCTGATGATTCTTTTTATTTTTATGCTCATATTTTAAAGTCAACATTTCTGCAGCCTGGCCATCTTGCTAAAGGGCATTCATAAGCTGTGTAACTACCACGTCTATAATTCTAACGATCTCCATGCATTTATCAAATATTTACTGAGCTAGGTCTTTCACTAGGTATAAACACTAGGAAGATTTTAATTTTAGTTCTGTGGCTCAAAATTCTTATAGTAAAGTACAAAACTAAATTGTGTTGCTATTTTGATAGTATCTCAACATATAGCTACCACTCAGTAAATATTAAGTAAATAATGTATTTTCAATGGTTTCCTTAAGGGAGTGAAAATTGGTTCTGGGGGTGGTGGTGAAAAGTTCTTGTGCTTTTTATGTATAAAACATAGATACAAATAAGCATCCAAACACATATATAAGGAACCCATCTTATTACAATTTAATGGAGAGGTTAGGGAAAAAAATGTCTGAAAAAGCTCCTTTAGAAAGTGATATTGAAAAGAAAAAAAAAACTTGAGAAACACTGAAATTAATATTGAAAATAAAAAGTGTGTATAGCTGAGGTTTAGAAACCTTTTTCTCTGATAATTCTTTTTTTTCTTTTAATATATCTTTATTGATTACAGAGAAGAATGGAGAGGGAAAGAGAAATAGAGACATCAATGATGAGAGAGAATCATTGATTGGCTGCCTCCTGCACGTCCCCCACTGGGGATCAAGCCTGCAACTTAGGCTTGTGCCTTTGACCAGAATTGAACCTGGGACGCTCTGTCCACTGAGCCAAAGCAGTTAGGTCTGATAAGAATTCTTATTGTAATGGAATTTGTCTTTAATAGCTGGAGGAACAGTTGTAACATACTGAACTGTAGGAAGTTCTGAGTTAATTTTTTTTGTCAAAATTATTCTTATGATTGGTAATTTGTATGTAAACTTTTGTGTTCCCTCACCCTTTAAAGAACTGCATATTAGTTGTTAATGGTTATTTTTTAAAAGTTTTAAGTCTCACCTTTTGAAAAAGTCAAAGTAAAACATTTTCACAATTTATTTTTATTTCAGACAAGATTAGCATATATATATATGTATAATGTGTATCAATAATGACCTGTCTAACTTTAAAACTTAGCTTTTAAATATCTTTAGAGTATCCAGATGTTACAAAGATGAATGCTAAGTTAAAAATAATTAAAAAGTTAAAGCAGTAAGTTTACGGAACTATGTACAGGATGGGGCAAAAGTGAGCTGTGTGCTTTTTTCTTATTTAAAATTATTACTTTAAAAATATCTATTGTTTTAACCAATTGTATTATTAGTATTTTTAAATATAGTTTATTGATTTTTTTACAGAGAGGAAGGGAGAGGAACAGAGAGTTAGAAACATTGATGAGAGAGAAACATCTACCCTGTTTCCCCCAAAATAAGACAGTATCTTATATTAATTTTTGCTCCCAAAGATGCTCAAGGTCTTATTTTCAGGGGATGTCTTATTTTTCCATGAAGAAGAATATGGTACACATTTATTGTTAAATGAAAATAAAGGAAATTTATTATCTGTTTACAGTATGGTAGTACGATAGTTGTCAACACAAATCAGACAAACTGAATCCTACAGTATCAAGAATTTACTCATTTATTCAATGACAATCATGTCATCATCTTCTGGAACATCATAACAATCCAATTCCTGAATTTCCTGGTAAATTTCTTGTGACTCCTGGGGGAGGGGGGTTATTTTCGGAGGGATGCCTTATATTTCACTCAGAAGGAAACCTGTAAGTACGTCTTATTTTCGGAGGATGTCTTATTTTCGGGGAAACACGGTATAAGCTGTCTCATGCATAATCCCCTACTGGGGATATGCCCCACAACCAAGGTTCATGCCCTTGACTGGAATCGAACCTGGGACCCTTGAGTCTGCAGGCCATCGCTCTATCCACTGAGCCAAACTGGTTAGGCCCCCCCCCTTTTTTTTTTTTATATGACTTACTAATATTTGATAAAAACTTCTTTAGTCAACAACAAAAGTTCCAGGCTCACCTTGTTTTTTGTTTTTTTTTTTTTTTTTTAATATATTTTATTGATTTTTCACAGAGAGGAAGGGAGAGGGATAGAGAGCTAGAAACATCAGTGAGAGAGAACCATCCATCAGCTGCCTCTTGCACACCCCCTACTGGGGATGTGCCCGCAACCAAGGTACATGCTCTTGACTAGAATCAATCTGGGACCTTTCAATCCCCAGACCGACGCTCTTACCACTGAGCCAAACCGGATTCGGCTCCAGGCTCACCTTGTATGTAACCTGCTCCAAACCTGGAATCAGACATTCCTTCAAGGAGTCCTAATTTTTTTTAGTGGGGAATGGACCACAGTGTGTGTACTGGGTGTATTCAGTGTTCCTGGGCTCTCATTGCTTCTAGGACTTACCAGTATAGAGATAGAAACAAAAAGTATATGAAAGGGAAACAAAAATCAGTGCACAGTTTTGGATTCAACTTTAACATTATGGATTTTTATTTTAGTTACTGGATTTTACAATTCTTTTCTCTTATTGAAAATATTGGTTCCTAAAATACTAACTTATTTGCATTGGCTTACTGCACGTATGAAAATAGTTTTAACCAGTTAACTGCCAAAACAAACCATCCCCATATATCACAATATTTTTAATTTAATTTAAAAAATTAATTTGCAATGAATATCACAAAAATGAATATATTGCTCACAATTTGGGCATTCTTGAATATTTTCAGTTGAAAATTCTCATGGAAAATGATTTTTTAAAGTGTCTACAGACATTTATGGTGTACAGGGGTTAAAAAGTAGTCAGTATTACTACCAACTGACTATTGAGTTCAATCTAAAATTTCTTTGTAGTACTTTTTTAGTTAAAATAATGCCTTCCAAAGCCAGTTAAAATAATTAATTTTTCTATGTAGTTGTATTATTAAGAAGTATATACTTAATAATACAACTTAAGAAGTATATAAGGTTAGTTCATTTGTTTTCATTAATTAAAATTTTTTTTCTGTTTTGAAAGTGTGTAACTATATTATAAGTTAGAAGTCTGATTTTATCATTGTCCCTTCTATTTTATTCCTACCTTCCCTTATTGATAATTTAAAAAATAGTTTGGGAAGTGTTTCTAAGCACATCTCCTTATATAATATAAAAGGTAGTCTATTATATATGTTGCTTGGCATCTTCCTTTTAACACTGAAGATTGTTCCACATGATTACATAGACATCTTTTATGGCTCCATTTTATTCCAGTATGTAAATACAGTGGAACCTTGGTTCTCTAACTCAATTTGTCTGGAAGACTGTTCAAAAGTTATTTGTTCGAAAACTATCATTTTATGGAAGGTAAAAGAAACCAAATGGTTAAAAATATTTCTATTTTTGTCTCTGAATTAAAAGTAAATTAGCTATTTTGTTTTCTTTTTTTAAATAGGGATACACATCATTTTGGAATGACTGTATATCATCTGGATTACGTGGCTGTATGTTAATTGAATTAGCATTAAGAGGAAGGTTACAACTAGAGGCTTGTGGAATGAGACGTAAAAGTCTATTAACAAGAAAGGTAAGATGAGTGCTAAATAAATATATCCTTATTAAAGAGTTTGTGCTGCCTAAAATGAAGAGTTTTTCTAATAGATTTCAAAAATTAAAGGAAGTTGATTTTTAAAGTTAAATCTTTATTAAGTCATGATTCTGTATCTTTTTGTTTTCATTCTTGGTTTTCTGATTCTTTGTGCATAATGAGTAATGTAATTCATTGCTACTGTCACTGGTCATTGCATCTCACATATTCAGAAAGACTTCACAATTTATTTCCTGCTTCTGAAAGCCATACTACGTAAAGCCTTGACATAACTTTCATTGTGTTTCTTTAATAGAGTGTCCTAATGGAATCTAAAATGTTTAAGTCAGAATGGAACCATTTTTTACTTATCCTCACCTGATATGTTTCTATTGATTTTAAAGAGACGGGATGGAAGGGATGGGAGGGAAGGAGGAGGGAGGGATAGAGTTAGAAACATTGATGTGCGAGAGAAACATCTATCAGTTGCTCCCTGACCAGGGACTGAACCTGCAACTTAGTAGGTGCCCTGACTAGGAATTGAACCCACAATCTTTTTGGTGTATGAGATGATGCTCCAACCAACTGAGCTACCCAGCAAGGCCCAGAAAGAAAGCATTTTTTAATTGATAATGTGATGGAGAGTAATAATTCTATAGGAAAGAAAGCCATTAATGACTCTTAAAAGTTATATACAAAGTAAACATAGTATATCTAGCAGTCTCATGGGACTTTAAATAATTAAATTTAAGTTAGACATTTAAAAGTTAAGTGAACTGGCACAAGATTAGTTTTAAAATTGCTGTTTTAGCTGGACTGGCATGGCTCAGTGGTTGAGTATCAACCTATGAACCAGGAAGTCATGGTTCAATTCCCAGTTAGGGCAGATATCAGGGTTGCAGGCTGCCGTGTGGGTGTGTAGGAGGCAGCCGATTGGTGATTCTCTTTCATTACTAATGTTTATATCTCTCTCCTCTCTTCCTCTCTGAAATCATGAAAATATTTTAAAAAAATAAAATTACTGGTTTAGATAACTATATAATAAGGCTGAATATAATTTTGTTTTATTTTTCTGTGGAACCATAGAATTATGGAGGGGAAACTTTTAAGAATCTGCTATTATAGTTATTGATGAAATATACACAGAGGTTGCTAGTAATTATAGTAATTTTGCATTAACTTGATGGAGCCCAGACCTGGTTAAAAGATATTGATACTGGGATTTTGTACTGATATTGATACTTTTTTGTTTGGGAACAAGACCAGTTTTTGTATTAGTTATCCACAACTTTATTTAGTGGTTAAGTCTACCATGTGTTGAGCTAGATCCTGGAGATACAATGGTCATCAGGCAACACATGTTCCCTGCCTGTCTGGGCTTATTGTTTCATTCTTCTTGCTTTTGCAATCTTAATTAAGTAGATAGTTGATATGTCTTTTGGAAAAATACTATAATTTCTAATAAATGATTTTATTAGGGTAATATGTATATAATAGTTATAAAGTCAAATTGTACCAAAAGGCTTATAACAAAACAGTCTTCTTTACCTTACTTCACTCCTTAGTCCTATTTCTGGGAGGCATCCAGTTTCTGTCTTTGTATTAATTTCCTAGGGCTGCCTTAACAAATTACCACATACTTTGTGACTTAAAACAACAGGTAGTTATTATCTCACTAGCGGTCCGGTGCACGGAGGCGCGGATGACCCTCACTCAGCCCAGCCTGCACCCCCTCCAATCTGGGACATCCCTCTTACAATCCTTGACTACTGGCTCCCATTTGCTCACCAGCCTACCTTCCTGATTTCCCCTAACTGCTTTTGCCTGCCAGCCTGATCACCCCCTAACCACTCTGCTGCCAGCATGTTCCCCTGCCAGCTTATTTGCCCCCAACTGCCCTCCCTATAGGCCTGGTCCCCCCCAACTGCCCTTTCCCTGCAGGTCTGGTCACCCCCAACTTCCCTCCTCTGCCAGCCTTGTCATCCCTAACTGCCCTCCCCTGCAGGCTTGATTGCCCCCAACTACCTTCCCTTCAGGCCTGGTCTCTCTCAACTGCCCTCCCCTGCTGGCCATCTGGTGGTGGCCATCTTGTGTCCACATGGGAGTAAGATCTTTGACCGCATGGGGGCAGCCATCTTGTGTGTTGGAGTGATGGTCAGTCTGCATATAACTCTTATTAGATAGGATAGAGGCCTAGTGCATGGGTGGGGGCTGGTTGGTTTGCCCTGAAGGATGTCCTGGATCAGGGTGGGGTTCCCTTGGGGTGCTGGGTGGCCTGGGCTAGGGGCCTGTGGTGGTTTGCAGGCCAGCCATGCCCTCTGGCGACCCAAGCAGAGGTTCTGGTATCTGGGATTTATGTATCTTCTACATTGGAAATTTTGTAGCCTGGAGCAGAGCCAAGCCTCCTGCTTGTTCCATGACTGCAGCCATTTCTGTTAGAATTTGTTTACCTTCTATAATTGAAATTTTATAGCTTGAGTGGAGGTTTAGGCCGACAAGGGCAGGCGGAAAGCTTCTCTTTTTCCATTGCTGGGGAAACCCAAGCCTCCCTCCTACTCTTTGCCTGTAGCCATCTTGGTTAGGTTTATTTGCATACTCGCTCTGATTGGCTGGCGGGCATGGCTGGTGGGTGTAGCAGAGGTATGATCAATTTACTTATTACTCTTTTATTAGGTAAGATAGTTGTGGAGGCCAGAATATGCTGTGCTCTCATTGAAGGCTCTAAGGGAAATTCTATTCCTTTCCTCTTATAGCTTCTGTGGTTCCAGGCTTTCCTTGGCTTCTGGCCTCAACTCTCTCTACTATTTCTTTATATCTCCTTGACTGTGTGTCCCTCCTTTGAATGCCATTGCAATTAGGGCCCATCTGGATAATCTAGGACAGTCTCATCTCCAGATCTAATTAACTTAATTATAAATATATATTTTATTGATTTTGCACAGAAAGGAAGGGAGAGAGAGAGAGAGTTAGAAACATCGATGAGAGAGAGTCATCGATCAGCTGCCTCTTGCACACCCCCCCATGGGGGTATGCCCACAACCAAGGTACATGCCCTTGACTGGAATCGAACTCGGGAACCTTCAGTCCCCAAGCCGACGCTCTATCCATTGAGCCAAACTGGTCTCGGCTAATTAACTTAATTTTATCTACAAAAATTTAATGGGGATTAGCTTTGGGGGGTTAGGACATGAACACCTTTTAGGGGCAACCATTTAGTTTGCTATTAGTTCTTTTATTTATTTTGGCATTTACCTCCATATTTCTAAACTTATACTGCCATTTCTTGGTAAATCAATTGGTGATAATGTTTACTCTCAAAATAGAGGCATATTTGGCTCTCTTACATATCACCTCAATGCCTGCCCCTCCCCCCCCTTTCTAAAAGAATATGCCATAATTGTTGGCAAAATAGTAATGACTGTTTTATATCATTACAACTATGTGTAGTTTTCTTTAGTTAGGTATATCCTGTGATATTTTCCTTTCTTGTATGATTTTTTCCCCTAGAGTTAGTAATTCTATTTTTATCGTTTTCTTTGTAGCTGTCCTTTTTTCTTACATGCTTCATCAGAGAAACATGCTTCACCAGAGAAAACTTAGTATTAATTTTCAAATGTTCAAATTTATAATTTCATTAACTTACTTAAAATTCACATTTTGCTTCTAAAAGTAATACTTTTAGAACTAAAAGTAATACTTTTAGTTCTACTGGAACGTCCTGTCACATTTTTATTGCTTTTAACCCTCTGTTTTCTGGATCTAATATTTTCTTCCATCCTTGTGGGAGGAAACTGTTTTGCAATTTTTTGTGTATTTGAAGATGATACTTCAGTTTTATTTGATTGGCAATAGGATGTTAGGTATAAATTATTTTTCCATAGAATTTTTTTTCTTTTCTTTAGCTTACCTGTGTAGTGTTATAGATGTTCCTTTTTTATCCCCATTGGTCCCTTTCTAGCCTGTACCAGCTACCCTCCCCTCACCTCATCCCTGTCCCAAGCCTTCACCACACTATTGTCTGTGTCCTTGAGTTATGCAGATAATTTTTTAAGATATTTTTCTATTGTCCTCTAGTATACAGAGTTGCCATTAAAGTTTGGTGCTCTTCTGATTTTCATTTTTGGTTTGATATATGCTTTTTCCTTTCTGAAAGCATTTGGGATTATCTGTTTATCACTGATATCTGAAATTGTATGATTTGCCTTGATGTGGGTCTTTAAAAGTTCATTATGCATGCACTCTTTCAATGTGAAAATGTGTGTCTTTTGGTTTTGGAAAGTTTTCTCATATTCTTGTATTTTTTGCCCTCCGTTTTCTTAACTCTGTAAGTTGAATGTGGATCTCTTAGCCACTCCTTTTTTTCTTTCTGATTTTTGTTTATTTCCCAGTTTTATTGAAATATAATTGATATTCTCTGACCTCTCTTGAGTTTGTTTGTTTTTTAATCATCACCTTGGCTCATTTTTTTCTTTTCTAGGAGCCTTTCTTTCTTTCTTTTTTTTTTTTGTGTGTGTGTGTGTGTGTGTGTGTGTGTTGTTTTGTTTTGTTTTTGTCGTGGCTTCTCATTGTTTTATAAATGTAGTATCTTTAAAATCTCTGAGGATATTATGGCTCTTCTAAAAGTTTTTTTTATCTGTGTTATCTATGATTCGTCAGAGTTCTTATTTTCTCTCTTGGTCTCTTTGCTGCTGAAGGCTTTCCTTCAAATGTCTTGTCATCCTTGGTTATCCCGGATAGAATGGACTCCCTTCTCCAAGGGGGGGAATAAAAGAACTAAGTAGAAATTATATGTGTGAGCACACGATATTTGCTAGTGGGCTATTATACACTGCTGAATTTTACTAGGGAGTTTAGGACTTTCTCTATGAGTCGTTGAAGAATTTTAAGCAGAAACATTGGAATGTTTTGATAAGACTAGAGGTCTGGTGCACGAAATTCATGCACTAGGTGGGGGGTGGAGGAGTGTCCCTAAGCCAGGCCTGCACCCTCTCACAGTCCAGAAGCCCTTGGGGGATGTCAGACTGCCATGGAGAGCAGACCTAAGCCATCAGTCAGACATCCTTAGCACTGCCATGGAGGTAGATGAGGCTCCTGCCACTGCCACTGCACTCACCAGCCATCAGCCGGCTTCTGGTGCACTAACCACAGGGGGCAGCTCCTGTGTTGAGCGTCTGCCCTTTTGTGGTCAGTGCACGTCATAGTGAGCAGTTATTCTGCTGTTTGGGAGATATGTATATTAGTCTTTTATTATATAGGATTTATCTTTTATAAAGATCAGTGAAGAGAATGGATTGAAAATGGCTAAAACTCATTAGGAAACTTAAATAAATCCAAGTGAAAGATAATTCTAGGTAGACTAGAATAATTGCAGAGGTGATGGAGAAAAATAATCCCTCTGAGATAGATTTAGGGGACAGAATTTCAAAAGAAAAAAGATCTACTTATACTCAGAAGTGGGTGAACGTGGGCATGAGGTGGGCATGGGGCTTAGGTTGTATGGATTTAAGAAGTGGTATGGCATGACCCCAGTTATCCTATCTAATAAAGAGAGAATATACAAATTGTCCATCACACCATAACAAGATGGCTGCATCCACAGTAGAGGCTAAGTTCCAGTAATGAGCCTGAAAGAGCAATCAGCAGGGACCTGAGGCTATGCTCGCCCCCCCCCCCCCCCCCCGCCTGGAGGGGCTTGACAGGAGACCTCAGGCCTTACTCCCCACCCCAGTGACCTCGGGCCACATCCCCCACCAGGCAGGGCTTAATGGGGGGACCTCAGGCCAAACCTTCCTCCTGATAGGGCTTAATGGGGGATCTCAGGCTGTGGGGGGCCCCCCCACCCCTTAATGGTGACCTCAGACCACATCAACACCTGGTGGGGCTTGACAGGGGTGAGGCCTTCTGGGTCTGGGTCTGGATCTAGCCCAATGGGGGTGGGGCCAGCCCTGTCTGGGTCTCATGTGATTTACAGATGCACATGAGTGGGCGGGGTTTTGATTCTGGTTCCCATGATGTGCCCCAGACTCTGACAGGAGGAAGATTTTCATATACATTTTACTAATTTTCTTTTAAATATATTTTATTGATTTTTTTACAGAAAGTAAGGGAGAAGGATAGAGAGTTAGAAACATCGATGAGAGAGAACATCGATTAGCTGCCTCCTGCACACCCACTACTGGAGATGTGCCTGCAACCAAGGTACATGCCTTGATCAGAATCAAACCTGGGACCCTTGAGTCCAAAGGCTGACTATCTACCGAGTCAATCTCTCTCCTGAGAGGTTTCATATACATTTTACTAATTTTCTTTCATCTCTGACACTTCTGTTATAGAGAAAGGGCAAATAGCAGTATTAAAATATTTCCTCTAATTCTCTTTTAATGTGCATGAATTTCTTGCACGAGGTCACTAGTATAGACATACAATTCCTTCTCCCAAGGTTCTCCTTTTTTCTTATTTTCTCTACACCCTCCCCCTCTGCCTCTAAATGCATGGTCTTGAACAGCACTGTCCAAAGAACTTTCTGTGATGATGAAAATGTTCTGTATCTGCATTGTCCAATATAATAACCACATTTGTCTGTGAGACAGACACTTAAATGTGGCTAGTGCAAATTTAGACATGCTGTGAATAAAAACACTATTTTTGAAGACTTATGGAAAAAGAAGGAACAAGAAGGAAAAAATATCTCAATTTAAGAATATTTACTGCATGTTAATATTTTAGCTGTAGTGGGTTAAGTCAAATATATTAAAATTAATTCCACCTGTATCTTTTCCTTTTTTGATGTAACTAAAATTAAAAAAAAAATAGATTTGTGGTTCTTACTATATTTATATTGGGTCACACTGTGTCAATTAGATATAGTATGAATTTTTTTAAAATATATTTTTATTGATGTCAAAGAGGAAGGGAGAGGGAGAGAGAGCTAGAAACATCCATGATGAGAATCATGGATCAGCTGCCGCATGCACACCCCCTACTGGGGATCGATCCCACAACCCGGGCATGTGTTCTTGACCTGAATGGAACCTGCAATTCCCCAGTCCACAGGCCGATGCTCCATCCACTGAGCCAAACTGGCGAGGGCATGAATTTTTTTTTTTTTTTTAATATATTTTTTTTTGATTTTTTTACAGAGAGAGAGAGAGGGATAGAGAGCTAGAAACATCGATGAGAGAGAAACATTGACCAGCTGCCTCCTGTACACCCCCTTACATGCCCTTGATTGGAATCGAACCTAGGACCTTTCAGTCCGCAGGCTGATGCTCTATCCACTAAGCCAAACCAGTTTCTGCAAGAGCGTGAATTTTTTAATCTTTTAGAAGAAGGTTACCTTTTTTGAAAAAAAATGTAAAGGACACATTGTTGAGGACAGATTTTAAGAGAGGACTATTATACTTAAAAAATAATACTGTTAAATTTTATAACATTTTAGTAGCCAACAGAGTCATATTTGATATTATAGAACTTACACTAAAATTTGTTGCTTAGGCAGCAAGAACATTAATGAAGGCTGTAGAGATCTACTTGGCTAAAGCAGTATAGTAATTTTCTGTCCAATCCTTGAATTGGATTTTTCCACTGTTAAGGTGGATTGTATATCCCATATAGTTTAGGAAAAAAATTTGTAGTATTTAAAAATGTTATCTCATTAAGCTTATTGATAGTTTCTTCAAGTTGTCAGAACTTTGAATATTTTGTCAGAAACAAATATATTTCATTATTTAACTCTTTATTGTGGTATAACTCTTAAGAAGTCATGTCTTAATTTTTACTGCTAATTTGTTTAGCCACTTGTAATAATGTTCATTGACAAATTTATTTCTCTACTGGTGTAAAATGCCACCTTTTTCTTATACAGAATTGTTACATATAATTGTTTCTGCAACTAATAAATGTTTAAAAAATGAATTTCTGGGTCAAATAGCCCAATGTATAGTAATGAAAGTATTTTCTAGCATTTTGCTTTATTAATTAAGATTACTTTCATTTATAATTGTAGCTAATGTGGTTAGGTTAAATACCGGATTTTCTTAATATAGAATTAATTTAAAATCTGACTTTGCTATTGCAAGTACACTTGGGGCTTTAGCCATAATGAATTACTTGCATAATTATTTAAGTTTTTCATTCAAAGAGATCAAGTCAGAGAAAAGGCATCAGTGGATCATTTTATTCATGTTGCTTACATTTTAGGTGATCTGTAAGTCTGATGCCCCAACAGGGGATGTTCTTCTTGATGAAGCTCTAAAACATGTTAAGGAGACTCAACCTCCAGAAACAGTCCAGAACTGGATCGAATTACTTAGTGGTGAGTTTCTGTGTTTAAACTAGAATTTGAATTCTATTCAAAAGTTTTTTGTGAAAGTTTAAAATCCTTTCGAATGGAACTTAGACACAATACAATAGCCAAGAGTTTGTGTAGTTATTTAGTCAAAGTTATAAGTTAGTGACTGAATGGGGAAAGTTTATTTTTATTTTTTAAATATATTTTATTGATTTTTACAGAGAGGAAGGGAGAGGGATAGAGAGTTAGGAACATCAATGAGAGAGAAACATCAATCAGCTGCCTCCTGCACACCACCTACTGGGGATGTGCCCACAACCAAGGTACATGCCCTTGACTGGAATTGAACCTGGGACCCTTGAGTCCACAGGCCGATGCTCTATCCACTGAGCCAAAGGGTTAGGGTGGAAAATAGTGTTTTTAAAAAGTTCATGCTCTTGAACAAAACTGAGCAGATGTTGAATGAAATGTAATATTCTTCTTTAGAGCTCCCTTCATTCTTTTATTAGAATTACCTCATGTCTCCTTTTTCTGGGTAGGGGCTAGTTAAAATGTGTAACAACCCTAAAACCTTAATGGCTCAAAGTAATAGTTTATTTCTCACTCATCTGTTGGTCAGTCACAGGCCACTTCTCACTTTGGCAAGATGGAATTGTCACCATCTGGAGCATTGTCACTGTTGGGAAGGGAAGATGAGCATGGCAGATCTCTCAGCCTCTTCAGTTCCTGCTCAGGTTTCATTGGTCAGAGCAAGTCACATTGCCTACCCTAAGTTTAAGGAGATAGAAAAGTGTGAGTGTAGTGAAGAACCTGAAATACTTGGTTGACAGCATTAATGCTACTACTTTTATATTAAGTTACTTGTATATTTGTCTAATCTTCTAGATAGCTCTTTCTGTATAGGATCTATCGATAAGTTACCTTCTTTGCTACTACTCTTATATAAAACATACCTTCTACACACATGGCTCTCTGAACAACATGGATTTGAACCCTACAGGTCCACTTTTATGTGGATTTTTTTCAATAAATACTGTAAATGTATTTTTGTCTTTCTTATGATTTTCTTAATATCTTTTTCTGGCATACTTTGTTATAAAAATATAGTATATAATATAACAAAATATATGTTAATTGGCTTTATGTTATAAGTAACTTCTGGTCAGTAGTAGGCTATTAGCTAAATTTTGGGGGAGTCAGGTTATATGTGGGTCCTAGCTGGTTTGGCTCACTAGAGTTACGGCCTGCAGACTTGAAGGCTTCTGGGTTTAATTCCGGTCTAGGGCATATGCCTGGGTTGAGGGCTCAATCCCCAGTAGGGGGCATACAGGAGGCAGCATATCAGTGATTTTCTCTTCATTGATGTTTCTGTCTCCCTCTCCCGTCCTCTCTGAAATCAATAAAAATATATATTTTTAAAAAGTTGTAACTGGATTTTCAACTGCTCAGTTCAGCACCCCTATCCCATTCATTGTTCAAGGCTCAACTGTACATGCATTGTTATTTCATATTCAACCATATTGCTGCTTAAAGAAACTTTTAAACACATATGGACTTTGTCAGAGATCAGTAATTAACATGTCATTTCTCTCAGTTTCTCAAAAAATTATGAGGATATTCTGTTAGTAAAAAATTTTGCATGTTTGTTTATTTAAAAATTGAATACACATACTACATTCTTTGCTAAGAGGATAACAATGGGCACTTTACATTTAGGACAGGGTTCATTCTTTTTTTGTGTGGTGAAGGCCTATGAAGGAGCTAGCTGAAGGGGGTTTATATAGGAGGTTAAGGGGGATATAACATAATACTTTCAACCATACAGATTAAAAAACAATCCTCACATGAGGTTGTTTTTTCCATTTCTTTTCAGAGGGGAAGGGGGTGTGTGGGGGGAGAGAGATGGTGAGGGAGCACGTGCGAGAGCAAGAGCAATGTGAGAGAGAGACAATGTGGGAGCAAACCCACAACCCAGGTACTTGGCCTTATTAAAACTGAGGCATTTTGGTGCATGGGCCAACACTCTGACCACTGAACAACACTGGCTAGCTAGGGAAATTAAAAATTTCTTTTTTATATATTTATTCATTTTTTTTAAATTCTCTAAAGTATTACAAATAGTAGTACATATGTTTCCTTTTTTTTTTTCTCCCCAATTGACTTTCCCTCAGCCCCCCCAACCCTCGCCACACACCCTCTTCCCCGTCTAGTATCTTGCATCCATTGGTTATGCTAACGGTCTGTTCGATGCTTCTCTGCCTCTGTATTTTTTGTTCATCAGTTTATAATGTTCTTATTATCCATAACTTAGTGAGATAATGTGGTATTATTTTTCTTTCATTGACTGGCTTATTTCACTTAGCATAATGCTCTCCAGTTCCATCTATGCTGTTGCTAATGGTAAGAATTCCTTCTTTTTTATAGCAGCGTAGTATTCCATTTTGTTGATGTTCCACAGTTTTCTAATCCATTCATCTGCTGAAGGGCATTTAATCTGTTTCCAAATCTTAGCTATGGTGAATTGTGCTCCTGTGAACATAGGAGTGCATATATCTTTTCTGATTGATGTTCCTGTTTTCTTGGAATATATTCCTAGAAGTGGTATTAATGGGTCAAATGGCAGTTTCATTTTTAAGTTTTTAAGGAAACACCATACTGTTTTCCACAGTGGTTGCATCAGTCTGCATTCCCACAGCAGTGAAAGAGGGTTCCTTTTTCTCTGCATCCTCTCCAGCACTTGTCATTTGTTGATTTGTTGATAGCCATTCTGACAGGTGTCATGTACCTAATTGTTGTTTTGATTTGCATCTCTAATGATTAGTGACTTTGGGCATGTTTTCATATGTTTCTTGGTTTTCTGAATGTCCTCTTTTGAAAAGGGTCTATTTGGGTCATTTGCCCATTTTTTGATTGGGTTGTTTATCTTCCTTTTGTTAAGTTTTATGAGTTCCCTGTAAATGTTGGAAATTAAGCCTTATTGTAGATAACATTAGCAAATATTTTCTTCCATGAGGTGGGCTTTCTTGTTTTGTTAATGGTTTCTTTTGCTGTGCAAAAGCTTTTTATTTTGATGTAGTTCCATTTGTTTATTTTCTCCTTAGTTTCTGTTGCCTTAGGAGCTGTATCATTAAATATATTGTTACAACAAATGTCTGCTATTTTGCTGCCTCTGGCTTCTTCTAAGATTTTTATGGTTTTCCTGTCTTATAAGACCTTTATCCATTTTTGAGTTTACTTTTGTGTATGGTATAAGTTTGTGGTCAGTTTCTTTCTTTTTTTTTTTTTTTTTGCAAGTATCTGTCCAGTTTTTCCAACACCATTTATTGAAGAGGCTGTCTTGATTCCATTGTATATTCTTGCCTCCTTTGTCAAATATTGGAGCATAATGGCTTGTGTCAATTTCTGTGTTCTCTTCCACTGGTATATATGTCTGTTCTTGTTCTAGTATCAGGTAGTTTTGAGAACAGTAGCTTTGTAGTATAGCTTGATATCTGCTATTGTGATCCCTCAAACATTGTTCTTCTCTCTTAAGATTGCTATAGCTACTCAGGGTCGTTTTATGAAGAGAGTAGTTTTTTGTAATGGAATTATGTGGGTAGCTGTCAGTATGTCATTTCTACTGAATAATTGTTGGGCAGAGGACATAATCTTTGAAGAACTTTCCTCTATATGCTTCTCTCAAGTTTGTTTACAAAAAGGTAAATAAATTCTTTAGGGACTGATGAATAATAATATGGATCATAGTAACATCATTTACTCTAGAACTTTTAGTACTATTTCTTTATTAGGCATTTATTACAAATATTTAGAAGTTATTTAATATCCTGTTTAAATTGAAGCAGCTAGCCGAAACCGGTTTTGGCTCAGTGGATAGAGCGTTGGCCTGTGGACTGAAAGGTCCCAGGTTCGATTCCCATCCAGGGCATGTACTTTGGTTGTGGGCACATCCCCGGCAGGGGGTATGCAAGAGGCAGCTGATCGATGTCTCATCGATGTTTCTAACTCTCTAGCCCTCTCTCTTTCTCTCTGTAAAAAATCAATAAAATATATTATAAACAAATAAATAAATAAATAAATAGAAGCAGCTAAATCTTTAGTAGTTAGTATAGATTAAATCTTTATTGTATCTTCTTTTTACTCATATAGCTACCCTTCTCCCACCCCATTTATACTGTTTTTTTAAACTATGCTAATCTCAGGGGTAACTTTATTCTTTGGATTTAGCTTACTTTATTTGGTACTTTTATTTATTTTTTATTTTTTATATACTTTATTGACTTTTTTACAGCGAGGAAGAGAGAAGGACAGAGAGTTAGAAACATCGATGAGAGAGAATCATTGATCAGCTGCCTCTTGCACACCCTCCAAGAACCTGGGACCTTTCAGTCCGCAGGCCAATGCTCTATCCACTGAGCCAAACCAGTTTCGGCTATTTAGTTCTTTTAAAGTAAAAAGCAGAAATGTCTGAATACCAAGATACTTTGACCATTCAGTTAAGCACCCCCATTTGCATGTTGCATTGTTCCAGCCTTCTGCTTATGAGATTTATTTGTTCTTTCACATAACTGAGGAGATCTGAATAACAATTTCGTTGAAGTGAATATACAAAGTTTGCCCAGGGACTTGAAGATAATTTCTAAATACCTTTTTTAAAAAATACATATTTTTATTGATTTCAGAGAGGAAGGGAAAAGAGAGAGAAAAACATCAATGATGAAGAGAATCATTGTTGGCTGCCTCCTGCGTGCTCCCCACTAGGGATTGGGCCCACAACCCCCGGGCATGTGCCCTTGACTGGAATCAAACCCGGACCCTTCAGTTCACAAGTCAGTGCTCTATCTACCAAGCCAAACCAGCCTGGGCAAAATATCTTTTTTATTACTTCTGCGGTAGGAATGATTGCCCATAAGAAGGTCCATTCATAAATGGAGCACCTTATTTGATGGTGAGTCTGTGTTCAGACTCTTCTCATTTTTAATAGCAACACTGCTCAGCATATTTTGGAATTGAGAAATTTCTTACAGTAACTTTGTAATCATTACTTGTTCCATTGGTTGCAATAGATAAGATTTAATTATAGATAAGTCGTAGATAAACCTTAGTATAACTTTAATACAATAGACAGCCATAAACTGCTAATACCATTTCTTTCCCATGAAAAAGAAAAAAGTCATTGTATAGCAACATTGGGATTTTTATTGCTTTTTAGTTCTGTAAATTGAAATTTAACTTAGGGTTTCTCAGAATAATCTTACACACATATCACCGGTGCCTTTGTTTGGTAATAAATGGCCACGATATTCTCTAAGACATAGCTGGGAAATGACCAAGTTGAAATCATATCCACCAGTCTGGCTCCATAGTTTGTTATAAGTTAGCATTCCAATTATTATTAAATTATATTTTTCTTTTTTACACTTAGGTTATAAAGTCTGATAGAACCCCTAAATATATTTTAGCTCTTTTTTGAAGTTACCAAGGAAATTGAATGCAATGGTTGATTGTCTTTTGTGGAAGCTAATTGCTAGATTTTAAATTACATAGATATTTATATAGTAATTTCATTATTATTTTTTAATCCTCTCCTGATAATTTTTTCCCCATTATTTTTTCCCCCCTGTTAATCCTCACTTGAGGATATTTTTCTCATTATTTTTAGAGAGAGTGGAGGGAAGGGAGATACACACACAAATGTGTGAGAGAGAAATTGATCCATTGCTTACCATATGTGTCCTGAAGGGCTGGGATTGAACCTGCAACCCACATACGTTCCCTTGACGGGGAATCCAACCCATGATCTTTTGGTACCGAGGCCAACACTAACTGGTGAGCAACACAGGCCAGAGCTGAATTGTAAAAATGCTGCAGTGAACATAGGGGGTGCTTATATCCTTTTGGATTAGTGTTTCGGAGTTCTTTGGGCACATACCCAGAAGAGAGGTTGTTGAGTTATATTGTAGTTCTATTTTTAATTTATTGAGGAACCTCTGTAATGTTTTTTATAGTGGCTGCACTAAATTACAATTCCACCAACAATGCACGGGGTTCCCTTATCTCTGCATCCTTGCTAATACTGATTTATTGATGGAAACCATACTCACAGGTGTGTGGTGATATCTCATTGTGGTTTTGATTTGCATTTTCCTGGTTAGTGATGTGGAGCATCTTTTCATATGTCTATTGGCCATCTGTATGTCCTCTCTGGAGAAATATAAATAAAAGCCCATTTTTTAGTTTTTTTTTTTTTGGGGGGGTGTTCTTATATATTTTGGGTTTTAACCCTTATTAAATGTATCATTGGTGAATATCGTCTTCCATTCAAGAGGTTGTTTTCAATTTGATAATTTCCTTCACTGTGCCAAAACTTTTTAGTTTGATGTAGTTCCCTTTGTTTATTTTTTTCTTTTGTTTCCTGGGAAGACATTTCCAAATAAATGTTACTGAGAGTGATGTCAGGACTTACTGCCTATATTTTCTATATATGGTCTAGTTTCACTGATTGTGCCCAGCTTGGGGCTGTTGTCTGGTATAGCTATGAAATTATCTGCAGTTGGTTGCTGCTTGTGCTGGGCTTAGAACTGCTTGGGAGTAGCTATTCTGCAAACCAAGGCTGCAAATTGTGTGGGGTTTATGGATGCTTGTTGAGGCTGTTTCAAGCCCAGACTAGCCAATGTGTATCCCAAGGCTAGGGCTACTTGAAGGTAGTTACAATAAAAATTCAAGCCTATTACTACTTATACCAGACTTGGGATAGCTTAGCTAGAGGTACAGTGCACACCATGGACAGCCACTGCTTGTTTGGGGTTTGTGGACATGTAGGCTATTGGATGGTGTAGAGTCCCAGGGAATCATCAAGGAAGGACAGTGGTGTTGGCCAGGTTAATGGAGAGCTCTGATTTGGTGCCCACCTATTTCTGAACTGGCTGGCTGGATTGGGAGAGGGCTCAACAAAGGACCAATGGTATCTGCCAGCACTTCCGTCCCTGCGAGAGAGCTGTCCCAAACCCTGCTCTTCCAGCACTTTCCCTGAAGCTAGTCAGTTTAGTTTCTCCCTGTATATCCTTGGTACTTTCCTAGCTGCTACTCCTACACTGGAGCCATGTGAGTGAGTTTGTGAGCTAGTGTGACTGTGTGCGACCTCTCAAGAGGAGTGCCTGGGACTCTAGCAGCCCTTGTTCTCACTTGGATGCTGTCCCTGCTGGTTTTCACAGCCAGATGTTAGGGGACTCCTCTTCCCAGCACTGGTGTCTGGGACTGGGGAGCCCGTGGTGGGACCTGGGCCCTTAATTCTAGGTGAGTCCTCCACAGCTTGGGTATTCCTCTGATTCTTAATTGCCACCTCATGGGTGTGGAACCAGCTCCTTTCATGTCTCTGCCTCTCCTACCAGTCCCTTTGTGGCTTCTTTATTTCCTTAGTTATAGCATTTATGTTCAGCTAATCTTAAGCTGGTTCTTAAGGTGGTTCTCAATGATGTTTGTTTCATAATTTAGTTGTAATTTAAGGTAGTAAAGGGAGGAGGTGAGCACAGCATTTACCTACTCTTCTATCTTGACTGGAATCCAATACCTTTCATTTCTAACTTCTGAAATATTTTATCTAGGTGAAACATGGAATCCATTAAAATTGCATTATCAATTAAGGAATGTACGGGAACGATTAGCTAAAAACCTGGTAGAAAAGGGCGTATTGACAACAGAGAAACAGAACTTCCTACTTTTTGACATGACCACACATCCCCTCACCAACAACAACATTAAGCAGCGCCTCATCAAGAAGGTACAGGAAGCTGTTCTTGACAAGTGGGTGAATGACCCTCACCGCATGGACAAGCGCCTGCTGGCCCTCATTTACCTCGCCCACGCCTCGGATGTGCTGGAGAATGCCTTCGCTCCCCTGCTGGATGAGCAGTATGATTTAGCCACCAAGAGAGTGCGGCAGCTCCTCGACTTGGATCCTGAGGTGGAATGCGTGAAGACCAACGCCAACGAGGTCCTGTGGGCGGTGGTGGCGGCCTTCACCAAGTAACTGCCCAGGGGAAGCCTTCTCTTCCCTCTCAAGTAAACCAGTCGTTTTTCTTCTATTGACTTCTGGTTTTCTGCAATTTATACTTTCCCACACTATAATTGGCTTTTGTTTTATGAAATGGTAGGTGGCTTTTTTTTTTTTTCTTTTCTTTTTTTAATATGTATGCAGAATTCTACTGGTACGAGAGGCCTTCCTCTTTCTGTTTTAAAAAAAGTTTTACTGCCATATTGGCATTCCATTCCTTATGTTGCCATTCTCACAGTTAACCTGTTTTGGATTTCTGATATGCTTTGACTTTCAAAGTAACCTCAGTCTCCTCACATGCAGACCTTCGGATTACCTCAGTTTGAGTTTTCCCCTATGTGCATGTACATCTCCCATTCTGCCTACAATTCAGACAAATCACAAAAAGGCCTTTATCTCACCAAAGGTAAATATCTGTATCTATTAGGATGTTTTATACATAGACCTCAGTTGAGATGTATACTTACAAAGTTATTTTTAAATTGAAACAACACACTAAATAATATAAAATGCCCCTTTGATTTTGTGTCCCACAAAAATCTATTATACCATTTGTTATAATTTTAACTATTAAATCGTAATGGTCCAACTGTTTCACAAAGCCAGTTTGGGATGAACTGCATTCCAGTTATGCTGTATATAGTTTGAATTACATATATAAATTGTCCCTTCTTCTGGCCACACCTGCCTCCATCTTAGTATTTTGCAAGATTTAATTCGTTGTACACCTGGTGCCCTCACTTGCTTCAGTTACTATTATTTGATGACAAAATAGACCTTTCATCATTGAAGGAGAGGAAAGATGTGTGTCTGGTTCTAAGATTTTTTGAGCTATGCTATTCATGGCACTCATCAGCTATGCATCTCCTTTTTGCAAATATTTTTGTCTTACTGTTTTAATCATTTCTATATGGAAGAGGCTTGTGTCCAGTACTAATCTTGAGTACAGTTTTTTTGTTTTTTGACCACAAGTAAATTAATGTTTGCTCTTAAATGTCATTTATCTACTCACAATTTCTCACACACACAAAAAATCAAATGTCATTTATAGCAGATGTTGCATGTAAATTGTTATCAAGTAATGACTACAGTTCAGATGATTAAGAATTTTATAACAGAAAGCTCTGCTATGTTTTAATTTTTATGTACAATTATGACAATTAGCACATTATAAAAATATAAACCTTTGCTTTTTACTATTTCTTTATCACTGTTTATCGATAATATCACTATTGGTTTCATAATGTAAATACTATATATTGAACAAATTAAATGTCAAAATTTTTTATTACCATAGTTCATGTTAATAGTGAGGCTTTCAGGTGTATAGAGTTTTTCTGGTTAACATTCAATGCAAAACTACTAGATGGATCCCCTATTATGTATTCTGCCTTTTTATCTGATGAAATAAATAAAACTATGAACTTGAAAGTGCCTGAATCAGAGCAAGCATGTCATTTGTACTTTTGTATTTTACCTTCATTTACTTTCTAAGGAAGTTTTACTGAGCCTTAGTATAGTATGGTAGTATTTTATTTTATTTTTAAAATATATATATTGCTTTTTTACAGAGAGAAGGGAGAGAGAGAGAGAATCAGAAACATCGATGAGAGAGAAACATCAATCATCAGCCTCTTGCACACACTCCCAGGGGATGTGCCTGCAACCAAGGTACATGCCCTTGACAGGAATTAAACCTGGGACCCTTGAGTCTGCAGACCTATGCTTTATCCACTCACTGATCCAAACCAGTTAGGGCAGTATGTGGTAATATTTTAATGCAGTGGTTGGTGAGCCATTTTTTTCCTCTAATTCTCACCTGAGGATATGTTTTTATTCATTTTAGAGAGAGGAAGGGAGAAATAGGAGGGGGAGGAGGGGGAGAGAGAGAGAGAGAAACATCAATTAGTTGCCTCCTATACATCCCAACTGGGGATTGTACCAACAACCTAGGTGTGCTCTGACCGGGAATCAAACCTGCAGCCTTTTTGATGTAGAAAATAACATTCCAACTAACTGAACCACCCAGCTGGAGTAGTAGGTGTTTTACTCCAAGGTCAGATAGTAAATATTTTAGGCTTTAGGCCACATATGGTGTGGCTATTGCAACTACCCAATTCTGCTGAGTGAAGGTTGCCATAGATAATGTAAATAAATGGGCCGGGCTGTGTTCTAATAAATTCTTAGTTACAGAAACTGGCAGCTGGCCATGGGCAGTAGTTTCCAGTCCTTATTTTAAGATGAGAAAAGACAGATTTTCTGTCCATTAAAATAAACTCCATCTCAGGCAAGGGAAAGGCCTGCCTAAACTTCTGCCAATGTGTCCTCCCAGCAGAGTACATACCAGCTCTACCTGTGTGTGGCCCCAACTTCAGCACCTGCTTCTGTATTCAGAGAAAAAACATAGTACTACCTAGAGGGCAAGCTGATATCTATAACTCCTTTCTCCTGTAAAATGCTGCTGCTCACAGTCCTCTGTACAGCACGAATGGTGTGGCTCCATGGGAATAATTACTCAGTGTGGTAGAAGCAGTACTTATGCCACTTTTTAAAAAGCCTTCAGATCCAAAAATCAGGCAGTGAATTTTAATAGAAAACGTGTAGAACGATCTAATGTGCAAAGAATTAGTTGCTGTGTTTTTGTTTTTTCATATATTGTTGAATTGAAATAATCAGATCTGGAAAAATGTTCTAACCAAAGGGAGAAAGGAAACTTACTGAATGTACGTTTTGTGCCTACTAAATATTTTATATCTCGTTTTGACCTCCTCAAACCCTAAGAACTATCTTCATTTATTGAAGAACAGGCCTAGAGAGGATGATATTCCCAATCTTACATTATCTGGTAAGTATTTGAGCTTTAAGTCCTCAAATGATTGAATGATAGTAATAGCATCCCACTATAGTTTATCCTTTCTTATTTGGGCACTAGGAGAGGGCTGCTTTTTTCTTTTTCTTCTTTTTAAAAAAAAATATATTTTATTGATTTTTTACAGAGAGGGAGAGAGTGTGAAACATTGATGAGAGAGAATCATCTATCAGCTGTCTCTTGCACACCCCCTACTGGGGATATGCCCGCAACCAAGGTACATTCCCTTCATCAGAATCGAACCTGGGACCTTTCAGTCCGCAGGCTGACGCTCTATCCACTGAGCCAAACCGGTTTCGGCGAGGGCTTCTTTTTTTCCTAACAGACAAAAAACAATAGCATGCATGCAAAAAGTTCTCACACTTATGCAAACTACAATGATAAAGGGACATCTTTGCTTTATTACTATATCTTGGTATAACACACTATTTTGGGGGGGATGAAAAAGTTGAATAATTCTATATGTTCTTAAGAGAAAAAAAGCATTGCCAGGTGTCAAATGGCCAAGAAAGTCCTAGGATTGCCCAGTAGTCTCTCAACACATTTCATCACTCAATTCTTCCCATGGTTTGTGAATAGATGGGTATAATATTCTTCTCCAGTATAACCTTTGAATTTGGTCATTACCCAAAGGAAAGAGAGGCTGGTGTCTTGACGGTTGGGCCAATAAGTAATGACATCCCTGCATGACTACTTTTGCCCCAGGAGCATGGAAACCACCAGTCACAAGTCTGTGAGGTATTTATTTTATGAAATTCAATGTAACTCTCCATCTTGTATGCTGTTATTATATATTGTCAGATACTGTTCCATTTCACTTTTTTTCAGGTCAAGATGACTGACAGTCTAAGGTAAATTCCAATTCATCACAGCCCATCAGGTTCCAGAATGATATACCTGGCTCTTGTAAGTTCTGCACAAATGTCATATATTTTTTCATAGTACCAGTAAGGTAGTATTAATATTCATAAACTTGCAGGCTATCCTTTCAAGGGGTGTGGATGGTAACATGGTTAAATGTTGATATGTATACTTTCTCAGCCCAATGCTAGAATACATGGGTGTTTACTTCTGTTAAACCATTGTTGTGCAATTTTTCCAGTAGCATCATCATATACTGTTGTGCAATTTATTTTTCTTATATTGTGGAGAGCTTTCAGAATAAACACACATCATTCTTTTTAATCATTTTTGGCTTCATTTTATAACTTAGATAAATCTCTATTAATGTACAGTTGGATTAATCTCATGTTTTTCATTATTGCCAACAGTATTTGAATGTACATGTCTTTATATTTGTCTAACTTCTGTAGGAGGAATTAATAGAAATGAGTTTACTTGAACGGCATGTCTGAAAAATATAAAAGGTAAAGCAAAATTGATTTGTAAGATTGATATTAACATACACGTGCACCAGTAACATGAATGCTGATTTCCCTACATCCTGGCCAAGTTAATGGAGAATTGTCAACTTGTTTTAGTTATTGGGGTGTTGGTTATTTACTGTCTTTATTTATAAAAGTTTTAAAGATAGTTTGTATTTTTCTCTCTGACTTAACCTGTTTGTGTTCTTTATCCATTGTTCTAATGGGCATCTTTTTAAGTATTGATTCATCAGGACTTTTAATATATTATGGCTATTAACCCTGTGTCTGTGGTACTGTTTGTTTCTCCAGCCTTTGGAATTGGTGTTTAAGTTTTTTGTTTTTTTTTTTAAACATTCAGTAAAGTGTAAGGTGCACTGTTCAGCATGGAATCTGTGGAGACCTTAATTATCCTGCTAATGACATCTGCTTAGTATTCGGGTTTAGGATATGTATATACTATAAAGTTTTGGGGAGGTATGATTAAATACAACAAGATCTCTAATAGGGGATGTGCAGGAGGCAGTCAATCAATGATTATCTCATCATTGATGATTTCTATCTCTCTCCCTTCCTCTCTAAATCAATAAAAAAAAAAATTTTTTTTAAAGGAAGTATCAGTGTAAACTTAAAAGGTACTCCCCCACCCCCTTTAAATATAATTTTATTTCAAAGAGGAAAGGAGAGGAAGAGAGAGAAACATCAATGATGAGAATCATCAATTGGCTGCCTCTTGCAAGCCC